CAGAGAGAACAGAGCCAACGCGGACCCGAAGGCATCTGTCTGTGAGATAGGACCTGATAACTCCAACTAGAAAAGGTGGAATGTTAAGGGCGATGAGTTTTGAGATAAGGCCAGACTAGGTCGAACGCTTGATGAACGTCAAGAAGAAGCATGGAGGTGTGACGCCGCTTGTAAAGGTTGTCGGAAATATATTTGGATATGCGGAGAAGTTGATGATCGGGGAGAAGGCTGTTTTGCTCCACGTGGTCTAAGGTCTAAGAGCCGATCGAGAAGGATTGATTCGACTACTTTGCTCAACGAACTGAGCAGGCTAATGGGCCTGTAGCTTGAGGGAGAGCTGAGGGGCTTTCCTTTTCTGGGCTCACAGATGACCGTGGCTTCTTTCCATACCAAAGGGATGTGGTGAAGCCGCATGATAGTGTTTGTGATATTGCACAGAGCGGTTATTTGCTTTGGCGGCAGGACTTTAAGGACACCGTCGGGAATTCCGACAGCGCCAGAGGCCTTTCCCTTTTTTAGAGATCGGATGGTGAGGAAGATTTCGCGTAGGGACATGTGTTTGAAGTCGTAATTCAGGGGAACGATGTTGTGGGAGACGGCAAGGTCCACTGCACTACGTAGTGGAGAGCACCTGAAACATAAAGCGTTTGGGAAGATTGCAGCTTTTTCTTCGTCTGAAGAATAAGTGGAGCCGTTCTGTCTTAGTAGCGGAAAATATGGAGCTCTGTTACGAAGGGAACGGATCACTTTCCAAGTGCTTCGGGGGTGTGTTTCTGCCTGAGCGATATAATCATCGAAGGATGCTCTGTGGAATTCGATGATGTCAGTTTTTAGTTCGCGTTGACGGGCGTTTACTTCTGCACGGTGTGCGGGGTCGCGGTGTCTATTGGACAGACGTCGGGCCTTGTTTTTCCTCTTAAGGAGCTCAAGAATGTCTGCGGGGAGGATTCTGTCTTTGGTGGGCGTTGGGCGGGAGGTAGTGGAGAGGTCGATTGCGCTGGTAATCTCGTTTGATAGGAGATTCACAGCTTCATAACGTCCCGCTATTGTGCGAATTGGAGTGCACTTGAATGAAGATGTTTCGAGGCTGTAACGGAGGTGTTGAAGATTGGGCGGCCGACTTCAATGAGGGCTGGAAGGTGGTCCGAACTTACTGCGTCAATGACGATAGGATCGGCGGAAAGTGTAACATTATTTGTGACGAAAGTGTCAAGGATGTCGGGGAATTGATTGTGGGGGGTAAGGAGGAACGTGGGGTTAGAAGGGTGCTTCAACTGTGAGGTTGAAGTCAAGAATTTTGACAAGAAAGAAGGTGCCCTTACTATTCGTTTGTCGACAGACCCAAGAGACATGTTTAGCGTTGAAATCGCCGGCTGTGATAGTTGGAACGCTTGAGAGGAGTAGAAGGGCAGTTCAGAAAGGTCTCTTTTCGAAGGGGAGTAGAGAGACATAATCCTTAGATGGCCGGAGGTTAGCGAAACTTCGATGCCGGCTGTTTCTAACGAGTTTGTGACCAAAGAGATAGGCCTATGTTTTAAAGAATTCCTAACAAGAATGGCAACACCGCCGGTACTGCCGTTTTCACGGTCCTTTCTGTAGGATAAGTGGGACGAAAAGTTTGATTTTTTCGGACAGGTGAGTTTCGGTCATGCACTTGACGAGGAAGTGCTCCAGTTCAGTTAATTTACCTCTGATGCTTTGCGCATTCCAGGTAACTATGCGAAAATTGTCTGGGTGGGCGGTGTTAGACGTTGGTGGTTTGTTTAAGGCGGCGACCATGCTGTCGACCATGATTTGGACAATAACTTTATGTTTTTGTTCCAAACTTGGGATTGCAACAACAGCTGCAGAAGTGCTTGTGTTGAGCTTTTGGGTGGCGGGAGGGATGGCAGTTCTTACTGCCTTGGTGTAGGATTTTTGAGGGGGCATTGCCAGGGTGGTAGCAGGAGGGTTGGGGGTTATTCTGCCTTGGAAAGCAACAGGAGTGACTATTTTCTTGGGGGGAGAAGGGGAGATCTTTTTGGGAACCTTGGGGCAGCCGCGGTAGGTGGTGTTTCGCAGTTGGCGCAAGTGGGAGTGGAATCCTTCTTGTCCCTGGTTTTACACTCGGCGGTAATGTGGTTTATGGCCACAGAGAGCGTAGACCCAGGCTGCGTGGAAGTGACAGTAGTTGGCTGTATGGAAGAATTTCAAACAGCGGCGGCATTTGGGAACTTTCTTAGTAGCTGTTTTTGGCTCAACTTTAATGTTGAGAACACGGAGTTTACCAAGATCGAAAATTGTCTTGGAATGTGAAGCGATCTAATCAAGATGGACGGAGACAAGGGACCAGATTTTGTTACCTTTGGACCTGCGATAAAAATGCATTTGTGGCTGGTTTTGGAGTCAATGTCCTCCGTTTGAATGTCTTCACAGACACCACGGATCACGACATGAAAGTCACGGTCTTTTTGGAGCTGGTTTGTGAAGAATTGGACTTTGGATTCGTCCAGGAAAAGGGTAAACGACGTGGATGGAGCTGGGGTAGACACGAATTTAGTCCTGAGTATTAATTGACCTGACTGTCAATGGCACAAAGAATTTTCGGTTAAAGGGACTTTTGACGTATAACGATTGGGGGGGAGTGGAGAGTTTGGATGATTCGTTGTCAGAAGAGGAGAATTCGGACGACGAAAGGAAAAGTTGCTGTCGTCGACGCCCGTTCACGCGTTTGCCGGTTTTGAAGAAACCGTCGTTCTCTCGTCAATCCGTGTGCGGGAGACGGTTAACGGAGCTATCGAAAATGGCCTTGGACAAGTTAGGCCAACGTTATACTGTGCTATTGTGGTTTCGTTTATAGATGCTAAACATATGTCCACAGATTCTTGGGGAACATTTCCTAGTATTAGTGTCGGAAAGATACAATGAATACGGGGTAATTTTTGTCCAGAGCGGATGTGGTGTCAGTAGGATATCTAGGGGCAAATCTCCTTATCTCCCAATGCTTTTCTTACGGCACTTCCGCTCGTTAGATTTTGTCCTCTGATTGGTCGGCCCCGTCCCCCACTTGTGTCATGTGGGTGTTTTTTGTTGTTATCCTCCATTTTGTTAACGCCTTCGGGCTTGCAATCGTTCCCCCCCTGTTCCCCCCGCATTGCCATTTATGGAATATTTTNACCACCTTCTCCCTCCTCCTAACGTATTCCTACTTCTTTCCCTCTCACAACCAAATAACTTCTATTTAAAACCGCATTCTTTGTAGTATAAATACAACCAATATACGTATTAATGCTTACACTCACTGACATCGTCAAGAGCCAATAACATCATGTGACCAGTAACAGCAACCGTTTAATAATAACCATTTAACAGTTACACGTTTCGTCACTTACCTACTCCTCTGTGCTAGAATCGGTTATCTTACCCTACTACTAGTTTTATCTACTGTGCCATTGCTTGTTATTTGTAGGATGTCGCTTTTGAACGCTGTTGATTGTACTAATTTGACTAAGCGAATAATTGCATCGTCAAGATCGTTCACCGTGAGTGCATTTCGCTGTTTGTTCTTATATTTAAGACAATTGTAGAAACGAATGCATCTTGCCGTAACCCTAACTAGCTTATTGAAGGAGGAAAAAAGCGTAAAGAGATGGAATTCCTCTTCGATGGTGGCTGACTGCACGACTGCTGCCCTTTTAAGTTCTAATGTAGTGTCGACATCCGAGAAATGAGATCTAGCGATTGGCCAATGCTGCTCTACCTTGGACAGCCACTCGGGACCGTGCCACCACAAGCTATCCTCAAGAATCCGATCCGGACTTATCCCTCTAGAAATTAGATCAGCTGGATTGTCACCTGTATTTACATGACGCCAAGACGCTGCACTCGTTAAGTCTTGAATTTCTCCTATTCGGTTGACCACAAAGGTATTATATGAACGGGATCCAGAACCAATCCAGGAGAGAACTATTGTAGAGTCCGACCAAAGCACAATGCGTTTGACAGTGATGTTAATCACTTGTAGTACCTTGGTCACAAGCTGAGACAGCAAAACGGCTGCGCAAAGTTCGAATCGGGGAATGGACAAAGCCTTGAGAGGTGCTACGCGCGACTTAGAACATAAAAGAATCGAATGGTGATTGTTGCTTGAGCTCGTAGAACGAATGTATATGCACGCTCCGTAGGCAAGCTCACTAGCATCACAGAAGTCGTGGACTTCGATTGTTTGAGCCTGGTCGACTGAAATCACCCTTCTTGGAATGCTCAGATTGTTGAGCCTTTCCAATGATTGTCTATAGAAATGTGAATGTCAACAGAAACAGATTCATCCCAGCCAATGCCCTGCTGCCACATTTTCTGTATCAATAACTTCGCGTTGACGATGACTGGATTCAATAAACCTAAAGGATCAAAGATTTGTGCAATGTCAGACAGTATCGTGTGCTTAGTGATCCTCTTTGTATTGTCGCATCTTTTTATGGTGAATTGAAACTCATCATCGCGTGTGTGCCACTGCATGTCCAGCGTTTTTCGATTTGGATTTTTGTCTAGGTCGATGATTGAATTTTCATTTGTGGGGTCTATTCCAATTAAAACATGTTTGCTATTGGAAGCCCATTTACGGAGCTCGAACTTACCCTTTTGAAGTATGTCTACTACTTCATTACGTAATGCAATTAGTTCGTCTATGTTATCACCACCAGAGAGAAAATCGTCTACGTAAAAGTCCCGTAGTATTGCGAGTGATCCCTGCAGATGTGTTTTTTGATGCTCGTGTGCCAACTGGTGTAAGCATCTAGTGGCTAGAAATGACGCGGGTGCTATTCCGTACGTGACCGTGAATAGCTCGTATTCCGATACTGGGTCTGTTGGGTTGAATCGCCACAGAATTTTTTGAAAACGCCTGTCGTCGGGAGTTACCAATACCTGGCGGTACATTTTAGCGATGTCGCCTGAAATTTGTGTGTGCGGAACCTAGCCAGAATGGAGAACAGGTTCTGCTGAATACTTGGACCTACCATTCAAATATCATTCAGTGATTTGCCTGATGTTGTCTTCGCTGACGCGTTAAACGCAACCCGGAGTTTGGTAGACAAGCTATCTTCCTTTAGTACCGAATGATGTGGCAGGTAATATGATGTCTGGAGTCCATTGTCGTCTGGTGCAGCAACGGACATGTGACCTAAGTGAAAGTACTCCGTGATGAATTGCGTATATTGTTCTGATAATCGTGGCTGTTTGTGTAATTTACGTTCCAGACTGTGGAAGCGTTTAAGTGCAATGTCCTTAAAGTTCCCCAAACATAAAGATTCCTGCTTAAACGGTAGTTTGACGATAAAACGACCTGTTGGATCGCGAGAATGCGTAGCCACGAAATGCTTTTCGACTTGCTTTTCCTCCACCGAATAGCTCTCGACCTGCTGGACTTCGTCGATTTTCCAGAACCTAGCCAAATGTTCATCAAGACGCTCGTGAACAGATAAATTGCACGCTAGTTGTTTATTAACTGCTTTACTGGGCGTCCTTCCGGTTCTTTTGGAGCACCGGCTGTCCACTTTTTGGAGAAGAAATTTGACCAATACACAACAAGCGATAAAAGATGTCCGCTTCAAGAAGCATATCGACATCTCTCGATATGTTATATTTGGGGTCTGCTAATTTGATACCCGGTGGTATTTTGAAGGAACATGCATCAAATGATGTCAGTGGGAGGTTTCTTGTGATATGAGGCAAAAGGACACATTCAACAGTTTCTTGATATCTCGAAAACCTTGACCTAACCACCAGCCTAACGGCTTGATTTGCTGTACTTTGTTTTTTGTTAACGCCACTTATGGAGATTTGCAGTGACTTCCTAGCTAGTCCTAACTTATTCGCGCAATTCTCAGTAATCAAGTTCAATTGCGATCCTTGATCTAATAGAACGCGACATTCCTGTAATTTACCTTTTGAGTAATGAACATGTACTAGGGCAGTTGACAAAAGGACCTCGGATGTAGACGCTAAATATGCACAGATATTACTATCGTGTGCAATTCGTTCTTCCCTGATAGGATTCGCACTTGAAGCCTCCGATTGTTGCTGTGAATTTCTGGACTGCGTCGGTTGATCATCCCTTTTATTGAGATGCAATAGCGTATTGTGGCGACCCTTGCACATTTTACATCTGCCATACTTACATTTCCTGTTTGAGTGATTGTTACCGAAACAGTTACGACAAATTTTAAATGATCTAACACTTTCGAGTCGCTGTTCAGGAGGTAATTGTAGAAGTCTTGTGCACTTATACAAGGAAAGACCATTTGCGTAAAAAAGGCAATTCTGACTAGTATTAACTACATGCACAATAGGTTTTTTGTTTGACTTATTGGCTTGGAAAAAACTACCTTTCGAAGTTTGATCCTGCCTTTGCTTAATGCTAATTGATTCTAATATCTCTACCTTTCGTGTGAGAAATTCAAAAAGTTCATTAATCGTTGGCATATTATTTTTGGATAATTCACCTTCCCATTCTTGGGTCGTTTTTGTATCGACCTTCGAGATTAAGATGGGAATTAATAAATCGTCCCAAGAATCTGCTGGCCGTTTAAGACGTTTTAGTGAACGTATGTTTCGTTGAAAGAGATTGATTAGTTGTTTTAATCCTATAAAAGATTCTTTAGGACATTCGGGCGCAACAAGGAATGAACGAACGTGATCTTGTATGATCAGCCGTTCTTTATTATAGTTATCGCTTAGTAGCTTTATAGCGATTGCATAATTGTCGGAGCAAGTCTCTAAATCTTGAATTAAGTCTAGAGCTTCTCCTTGCAAACTTGACTTAAGGTAATGCAACTTTACAACGTTAGATAAAGATGTTTGAAAATCTACCAGCGACTTGAATGAGTCAGAAAACGCGAGCCATTGATTATATTCCCCTGAAAAGGGCTGAATGTTAATAGCAGGCATGCGAGCGTGCAAATTGTTGATTTCTGCGTTTTGAGCAGATGTATTGTTTGAGCTTATGTTGGAAACTGAAGGTGACGCCTTGGATTCATAATTAACTATAAGTTTTTCTGCCTTATTTAATAGTTCATAATAATCCTGTTCAAATTCTTCGCGATCATTGCCATTCATTTCCGCCCTATCTAATATTTCTATTTGCGATTGAATATCGTCAAANGCATACTCTTGCAAATTATTAATTTTGAATGTCTTCCACACATTACATGCATGATCGTATTCCGTTTGAGAAATGTTACAATCATAAATTGAACTATAAAAACATTCTCGAGGTGGTAATTTAATATCTTGTAATTTTTCCCAACAGTCTAGATATTCATACGGAAAAACTCCCTTACGCTGAACTAATTCAAATTCTTCATCATTTTGGTAATACTTCCTTGTGATAATTTTTTGTTTCTTTTCTAAATAAGATGATAATTTATCTAAGCTGCTAGCCATAAAACGAAAAGAATCTAAAAATCTAAAACTTACATTAGTTTTTTCTATATATTTTGTGAATGAAATATACTTCTCTTTATTAACCGGCAATAAAGAAATATTACCTTTTATTTCTACGCTTAAAGCTTTAATTATGAAATGACTGTCATATCCGGATAAATTGTGAAAAATTACAGGTATTGTATGACTATTCTTATAATTCAAGTTACAATTTGAATGCGCTGGACCTCTATAATTTCCTGTTAAATGACAGTGATCCTTCACTTTAACATTTTCACTACTAAATGGTTTACAACAAATATGACAATATGTAGCAGTAAGATGTTGATTTTCTTGTTCATATGATAATTTTTTAATTGGAATAATGTTTAAAAAAATATTTTTAAATTCGAAAGCTAAAGTTTCAAGTTCCTTAACGAACCATGTAATACAATCCTTCCCTGTGTATAACTTAAATTTAGAAAGAGAATCATCATAATAACACTTTAGATAATATGCAATACTGAAAGGCTCGTGTTTCTGATACTTTTGCATTTTACTTGTACATTTTAAGTCATTGTGTTTAACTAGTATACTTTCCAAATCAGCATAAATTACAAACGGTACAAATTCCTTATTTTTAAAATTTTTAAATTTTAAAAACTTTTCGTTATCTTTTGGCAAAGTGATTTTTGTCCTGTTTAAATTTTTACAATCAATTAAATGCGTTTCTAAAGTCTGCTTTGATGTAAAGTTGTTGAGACAACGGTTACATATCCATTTTCTAATTTTATTGTTTTTCATTTGTTTGTGTAACAGTCGCGAAAGGTCATTAATTAATGCAAAATGAAATGTTCTGTTTAATTCAACATTTGTTTCATTAAACTCAGTAGAGGAATCTGAAAAATTATTTTTATCATCAATATCGCAATTTAAATTATCACACGGAATCATTAATAAGTTAATATGAGGTGTAAAATCGGTTTTACTCAAACAAATGGGTACAATACTACTTTTATCAAGTGTGAAAACATTAATGGATAAATTGTTAATTTTTTCAAATTTATTTATATCCTTCAATTGAATTGGAAAATTAATTCCTTCATACTTAAGGATTCTACTAAAGTGTGGATATGATGTTGTTCTATTTGGATTTTTATTGAACGGTGAAGGATGTAGTGCAGCTACAACTGACCATAGAAAACAAAATTTATCGTTATTTTGAATATTGATAACTGATTTTGAATTTTTAATAAATGAAGGCATTTCTACATATGTTGAAATACCTACGTTAATTGGAGCATAATTATTAATATTTATTTTAAGTTGTATTATTTCGTAAAGGGCCCATCCTGACTCCCGTTCTTGAAATCCTTCTAGTTTTGTTAATATTTTGTTTTTAATGTTTTCATTGTACCAATCTTTTAAATTTGAATTGTGATCTATAACGCTATTTCTAGTTGTAAAGTGTTTAATTTCAGTCTCACCATTTTGAGGTTTTATAAAATTGCCATAAAAGATTGCATTTACCTTTAAAATAGACTGTCTTAAAGAATTTTTAACTTTTAAAGCGAAACTTTTGTAGGCTGCATCTAAAAATTTAATCGGTTCCTTAATTTTATAATTTACAATGCTACCAGTTCTAATTCTTCCTCTAAAACATGAATCTAGGTCTACCCATTGTATATTTCTATTTTTAGTTTTTTTTGATTTATTCACATTTGAATCAAGTTCATATTTAAATTTATTCTTATAAAACTTTAACATTGCCAAATTTGTTTCTAACTGAAGCTTATTTCTAATATTATCTTTCTGTTTTATAAGTTTTTTTACTAACCGAATATTTTTATTTAAAAGTTTAATGAATTTCGTATATTCATCCTTAGTTTTAATTAATGTACCAACTTTTTCTATTTTCTTAATAAAATTCTTAAGTATAATATTAGCTTCCATTACGAATTATAAAAAGTATCTATTATTTTATTCCTGAAGATCCAAATCCACAATTTGACCTATATGTATTATCTAATGATGAACATTCAACAATTGTTGGATATGATATTTTTTCACAAATTAACTGAGCTATTCTATCACCTATCTCTATTACAAATTCTTTATTAGAATAATTAAATAATAATTACACCTGTTCTCCTATGTCAAAACAACAAAAAATTATTAAGCCTTTTCAAAGGAAAAAAGCCCCGCTTCGTTACCTTTGCCGACGTATTTACTTCCCTTGTATGTAATAGTTAGCTGGGAATGCTTCATATATTTTATGCGTTTTTCTCTGAGGCACTTGTGCATTCGTTTCGGCAAGTAGATTGTATTGTTGTCGATTTCAACCACTTCACATTTACCGTGTTTTGTTTTACTACGATTATTTTGTCATAAATAATATTCCGAAACGATATTTGTTTATAAACAGATGTTCTTACTGACCTTGACCTTCGCATAACATTATTATTATTACTATTGAAATTTGCACTACTTCTGTACGAACAAGTTGCTGCTTGTTTATACGGCTGATGTAATCCGCTTGTTTGTTTATAGTATTGACATTTTTTAAGCTTCTGTTATTACACGGCACGTGCGGCGGCAGATATCGATCATACACATGAACAAGAAACATTGTCTTTATTAGTATGATACCTACAATGGGCTGTTTTTTTTTAAACTTTGGTACAATGTTACTGTAACCTAAATCTATAACATTAGCTTGAGGTAAATAGGATTTTACGAGTTGATATTTTTGATGACCTTTTACAAATATCTTATGATAACGATGTAAGTGTACACGGTGAACGGAAAACAAAATGAGCAGTACGATTTCCTGGCTATATTGAGAGCACGACTTTGATTGGTATTGTACAACAGAAATGCTCGTACAGTACTCGTCATACCAGGGTCGCGTACTTTGTCGACTTCNTTAAATATCCTTGTTGCATCTATTTTGTGTGTGTCACATAATTTTTGCAACAAGTCAAAGAATTCCGTAATATTTTGTTTATTAAAACCTTTAATTCGGTTAAGCGAGGTGGATTCAGGCTGACGTAGTGACAAGTTTTCATTTCTTCTCATGAAATTGTAGTACCATTTCTTGTCTGCTGTCCTCTTTTCTTTATTGAACTGATGAGGAATGCTATTCTTTTCGGCAAGGTCAAACGCTAACCTGCGGACATCTCTGATAGTCAATCCAAACAAAACC